TACAATTTTCTCCTGCAATTGATTGTGGAATTGCATCTCTAAATCATTGTCCTGGTACGGCAGAGGGGGCAGAGATGGCAACATGTGCCCAGCAATGAAGGAAGTGAGAACCTCTAAAACTGGTTCTGCTCTTGCACCTCAAGCTGAATTCCTCCCTGCGAAGCTGCTCCCCACACAAGAAGTAAAATATTAGAGGATGTGAAGTTACAGTGAGAAATATGGAAGGGTTGCAGACAGCTAAAGCTTACATCAGCTGGTGACTTCTCCGAGAGGCAGGACAGAAAGACAATATATTCGTATGGGCTTGTGCACACTGACTTTGCATTGCAATCTTGCCTCTACCACTCCTGACCTCCCTGATTCGGGAAAGGTTGTTTGCATCTGCCTTGAACTAACTGCATGGGTGGCATCCAGGTATATTGCTTAATTAGCAAGCTGCAACTGCAACACAGGAGGGACTGATACCAGTCATGGGTGACCAGCACGGTGGAGATGTGGGAGCAGGGACTGGTCACCTTTTGAACAGTAAAGACAAATGCTGTCCTGCCCTCTTGTTTAATAAGTAACTGCATCTGTTTGCCAAGCTGTGCAGTACCAGGAGGTAGAAACCTGCAGTGGGGAGGGAAGACGAGGTGGTGAAAGTTATGGGAAGGGAAGGGCGGGGATCTGTGAAAACTATCTGTTGCTTTTGCTAACAGCAGTCAATAAACTGGTTTCCTTTAATAGGCATAATTGTTGTTGCACTAGTTAGGTGAGAGCAAGCATGTGGATGCTTACGCATGCTCAGCTCACGGCTTGGCTTTGTGTGAAGACACACCTGCTGAGCGTGAGGAAATGGCACTGTCGTGTGATTAGGTGCTTTCTTGGTCAGATGCCAAAGTAATGTTATTTCAAGATGTTCAGAAATTACCGTTCCACCAGCTGAAGTATCTAAAGATACATCAGGTTTCCTTGCCTGTGGTTAGAGAGATCAGGGTTAGCATGGGTTCAGGCACAGGTCAGTCTCCACAGGAAAGCTTTGCACGATGTTTTCTACCTGAGATGTGCAGGTTTCCAAGGATTTCACCAGTTCAATTGCAAAAGCTGGAGGTGAAGAAATTTCTGCCCAGGATCAATTTGATACATGGCCAATATGCAAGCCTTCTTTAAACAAAATTTCCATTGAGGTCATGCACAGAGGCACTGCAGTCCTGCAAAATCTTCAAGCCTGCAGGGTTTCTGTATTAATTTTAAACAACTCTCTTGAAAGCAGTCTGTGATATTCTGTCATTCCAGCCATTGTGGTAGGAAAGAGCAGCCTGCGATTCGAGAGCAGGGTTGTCTGCAAAAATGTTTACATACAGTAAAGAACTGCTGTCAGTCAATCTAATCACTTGTATTTTCATGCCAGCTTGCTAGAGAAAATATGTTGAACCATGTATTTGTTATACTGCCTTCAGGTATTATTTGCCAAATCTAAACTTGTTTTGTAATGGAAAAATGGGAGATTAGGTGAAAGAGCCAAATCCTTCAATCCTTGCTCAGATGATACTCATACTAGTTTCAGTTTTTCAGGCTGTTGTGTTTAATGTATGGCCCTTGTGCTTAGATCCAAAAGCTGGAGCTAAAGCGCTGTGTAGATGTGACCTAGTTCTTAGACAGTAAAGCCACTCGCTTTTTATTGAACAACAAACTGAGCTACTTCTGTTGTGACATAACAATTTGGAAATTTTACTCCTTGTTTATGTATATTGATAGGACAAAACTGTCAAAAGTATCTAAGTCTTCTCGACAGCTACTGCCATTAGGGCTCTTAAGCCACAAACAGTCTCATGAATTTTATTCAGTATTTTGCAAACAAATAATAAGCCAGGTCTCTTCCTGTGGTGTCCAAAGGCTCAATTCTACCGCGCCTGGCATTTGTTGTGCTATATGAGAGAAGAGGTTGCAGGAACACCTTACCTCTCTGAGGCATTGAGGTTTTTTTCTTTTCTCACTCGTTTCACAGAATATGAGGGGTCTGAGCATCTAGCAGGATGCTGTCAGGTAAAGTCGTGGTGCTGCATCAGTGTGGATGAAAGCAAAATTAGGGCTCTGCTGTCAGGGGGGATGAAATAACAGCAAGAATTTCCTGGCAGAGATCTCTTTGCCAGCTTCTTATTAGGTTTCATTCACTTGATGCATTTCAGTGCATAGACTCAAATGATATTTCTCTGAGAAATGAAGGGCTGTATTCAGTCAGCAAGTTACACCTTAATCTCTGTGCCTAGTCAGCAGAAAAATATATAGGTCCTCTAAAGAGTAATCAAGGGCTTAAGTAAGACACTGAGCAGGGAAGCTGCCAAGAGCCAGGTAATAGGAGGTATACAGCAGAGAGACTTAGCCTGGCTGAGTCTGTTGGCTATCAAGGTGATGGGTACATAGGAATTTTCTCTCACATTTTCTTGGTTTTTGCATCAGCATCCTGTGCACGCAGTGCCATTGCTTGCTGTACCGCAGAGTCCAGACCCTGCGGGTTGACAGCCTGGCTTTGCTTCACCCCCTGCCCTCCTGCTGCATTTCTGAATGTTTGGCATCCCACGTCTGGGATGACTCTTTAGGTGACACGGGACCAGGGCTGAGGTACCAGACCATTACGCGTAGGTGGAGTCAGAAGCATTTGGGTGGTGCCTCCAATTTGCAGGAGTATGTATAGAATAATGACTCGCTCTTCCAGCACTGGCCACAGTGTCTCTGTTGGGCTGCCTGCATCTGGGAGAAGTGGGACATGTAAAGCCATGATGCCTGTGCTGCAGAAAGTTAATATTCTCCACTGTGGAATGAGCAGTGTCTCCATTTCTTCAGTATTTGAAGCTACAATATTAGACCTTGCACTTTGAAAATCAGAATGTCTGGCAAGCGCATTGATAACTTGACAAATCTATTGACGGGGGAAGATGACAAAGGAAGAAATAACTGCTCCACACTGATCGTTTTGAAACCTTCAGTGATACTAAAGAACATTTGTAAGGCACAGCAAGTTAAATATGCTACATGACCTAACCTCACCCTTGCTAATTAATATTAGGCAGATACCAGAGCATCTTTGCATTGCTGCTTTTGTGTTTGCAGTATGCTCTGTAAAATCCTTCTGGTTTTGATCGGTGCTCTTTCAAGTTGTCTAGCATGAGCAAATACTTTGAAGCAGATGCTAATCAAAGAGCTAGAGCAGGAGTTTCTACATCATCCAACATCTTTTTTAAGTTTAAATATATTAAGATCAAAGCAGTTTATTGCAGTGAATACACTGTCTAAAAAGGTATTCAAAACCTCAATCAAAATAAAGTTGAGGAATTCACTAGCTGTAAGCTGCTGTCATTATTTCATGTTGTCAGTTCATTTAATACTTCACTGTTAATGTACTGAAAATGTCTAACTTGTAACCTTCAAACTGTTTTGTGGTTGCTGATGTTACAATGACAGATGGTACTTTTAAACAAACAAGTTATGTTTATGTTGCTAAAACTGGATTTTAAATAGTCACCTGTCGAATTCAGCAAACTTCAATAATTTCATTGCTACTTCTGCTATAGTTCTAGTCTAATTCTGTACAAACTTTGTCCAGTAAAAACACTGGGAAAGTTCATTCAACTTCAGTCACTCTCATGTGATGACATTCCAGTAAAAGCAAAGTAACTTTGGTAAAACATGAATCTTCGAAGATAAGTATTTGCGTGTCTTTCAAAAAGAAGTGTCTATTAGACTGGGTTTTTTTATGATCCCTGTCTGTGGTCATACAGTGGCTATGTAAGAGTCACTTTAATCACCAAAGTGAAACAGTTGTTTTGGGGCAGAAACTGGAATTGTAAAATTACCAGAACTGGAGTCAAAAGATAAAATTCCAAACTCCAGCCAAAGTTCTGGACTGTGCTTAAGACCTATTCTTTAGTTGAAATTTCATCTTCAAGAGTACTTTGTAGCATCAGACCATGTTGCAAGTTATAAAGTTAAGGATAATATTTGTATTTGAAACCACAGAGAAATGCTGATCCCAAAAGGAATCAATGGCAACACTTACACTGCAGGAGGAGTGTAGACACCTCAAGCCCACGATGGAGTTATCCAGCTCAAGGGTTGATACTGATGCCCATCTACATCTTCAACTTGCAGCAGACCATGGTGGCAGACAAAGGGGAAACAGCAGTGTCTGTCTTCCATGTGGTCTGTCCCACTACCACCTGGTGAAAACCAGGCTGATGGTGGGTCAGGATGGTAATTGCTTCCCCTCTGTTCAAACCCACCTCAGCCATTATAGACTTGCCTTATATTTGCTGATGTCTGAAATGTTGTTGCTAAATTGAATATGCTGTTTTTACTTGCAGCTCTGAAGCCTGTGTGGGTTGATTGCCAAGTTAATGATTTATATCTTAATGCTCCATTTAGGGCCCTTGTGTTTATCGCTCATGGCGCTGGGGAACACTGCGGCCGCTATGATGACTTGGCCCAGAGGCTGACGGGACTTAACTTGTTTGTTTTTGCCCATGACCATGGTGAGTAGCCTAAAACAGTACTTGATTTACAGCAGCTCAGGATTTTACTGAAATAAATGCCATTAAAACTACTCAGCAGTGAGAGAAGAGTCAATGAAATATTTAGACCTCGGCATAAATGAGAAAGGGATCATCTGTTGCTTTGTAAAGATCTGCATATTGAAGCTCTAAAAAGCTATCTGTGTTTACCTTGAGTTTTCCTCAGCCTTGTCCTTTGACATTACTGCTTGTGCTATTTTAACCTCTCTGTAAGGGATTATTTCTCTTTCACCTGTCTCTTGAGGGATGAAGAGGTATGTGGAAGTGGGACTAGGAGCCATTTCTGCTGGATTCATGGTCGATGTCCTAAATGATCCCAGAGGGGAGGCTGAAATGACAGCATAGCTTTCATATACCAAGACAACTAGACAGCTGCACCCTTGGCACATGGAGACATCGCAGACCTTTCTTTGGACACATCTCCACAGTCCAGCAGAGACACCAGAGCTGTCTGTACACCTCTCAGCTCTGATGACAAAGCAGCTTGAGTGCATGCAAGGCTGTCATAAGACAGCAACACCACTTCAGCCCTCAGCCAGTAGGTCTGGACGATGCTGTGCCATGTAGACTTACTGTCTTGGTCTCTTCTGGCTTGAAGATCTCTGCTCTGTGCTCCATTCTGAGCCATAGGTATGCTGAGTATCACCAGATCTCCTGTAGCACATGAACTGGGATATCCCGATAACATATTTGAACCATCTATCCTGGTTCTTTGGTAGCCTCCTCTCGTTGACTCTTGCAACTTCGTGACTTGTGCTTGGAAGTCTTTGCTTTGTTTTTATCATTGCAGATTGCTGCCTCCCTGCAAGAGTCACTCTAGATATTAGAAAAATGAATCAATTGGATTAGTGATGGCAGTGGACAAATGGCAAGGCCAAATTCTGAGCTGACAGGTTGAAATGGGATAAATCTCAGTTAGTGTAAATCTGATCTCCTTCTGGCAGATCATCCACTGACATTGGAAAGTATACTGCAACACATTGGAAAGTATATTGCAATTTACTTGGCTGAAGCTGAGACTCAAACCTGCCCCTAGATCTCCTCAAAGACAGGACTGCTTAATTTGAACTTGGAAGACCCTGAATGCATGTGAGGCATTGCACCATTTAGTCTGCGAGAGTAAAGGAAAAACCTTAATGAATCCAGGTAACGAAGGCTTCCCCTCGCACTTGATCTCATGACTCCCTTTCAGTCACAGCACTGCACTTGATGTGCAAAAATGAACCCTGTATTTTCCCTGAAAAAGACAATACCTAGTCCTCAGGACAGCTTGCAAGGAAAATAAATGAAACCCATGTGATTTTTCTGGACAACTGATCACATGCCATATTCAGAGCTGGCTTTACAAAGACAGATGACCTGTGCAGAAGTATCATTGCTGACCATATGAGTCTCTTTCTTGCTATATAGGCACAATATTTCTAAGTGCTGATTCGTTCATTTCAATATACTTCCTTCTGACTTGGATGTAGGCTAGCAGGACTCTGAAGTAATCCCATTAGAAATTGTCTCCGTTCCTTTCTGTTTATCATTATGGCATAGAGTTCGTGAGAAAGGTGATGCAACGGGCCACATGTGCTGTCCACGCTGCAGCTGCCATTCGTAGAGCACAGACAACATATACAAAAAGTTACTGAACTCCGGGACACACAAGCAATTTGTTCGGAGCCACTGTGGGCCTACAAGGGACTGTGGTTCCTCACTGTGCCGGCTTAATATCGTGCCTTAGTTCCTCATTCCCTTAAAACTTGATAAAAGTTTTAAGAAGTAGAGTTAAACTAACATTATTTGAAGAAACAAACCTAGAAGAAACGATAAAACATTGTATTTATTGCATGGATTTGATACAGAGGATGCCTCTTCTGTTGATGGAGAAGGGCCTTTGGGGTGAAGGTTGCTGTCAGGCATGTTTTGTGCTGTATAATGAGACAGTTATTTGCTTTCTTTTTCCTTGAATATCTTTTTGACTAGAGAAGCATAAGTATTTTGTGGGTTTTTGCTATAGACTGATGTTGTTGGATTAATTAGGTCACTTCAGTTAGTAGAAATCTGATTGCTCAGGCCAGTTAACAACTTCATTCTCCCTGTCAAACCTACAGCTTTCTTTGTAAATTCAGTTTCGTTTTCTTCATCAGCAATGGGGAGAGGGTAAAGAGGAACCCAAAAGCAGAACAATGGAAACACAGTTGTGTTACACAAAGAGCTAATTTAACCGAGCCTAGATTCACTGTAAGTTAGAAAGACGATTAACATATTTTAGGCTCTGAAAAATAATCTTTGCACCTAAAGAGGTAAGCAGTGAGGATAAACTTTGTTTGATGGAATACAGGTTACAGCCTGAGCTGAATGCCAGCAAGAGCTGAAGGACATCAACACTTCCATTGCCAAATTTGCTCAGACCAGATTGGGAAGTTTATAGTTTTCCTCCACCATTTTATCTGTTCCAGATCACTTCAACAGTGTGTTACCCCTTTGCGTCTCATCCTTTGGATAGCTTTGGGTAATATTAATTATTCAATTGTGTTAGCAAAATAATTGCTTTCTGTTCCCCATCTCTTACAGTGGCTCTTAGTCTTATGAGTTTGGCATAGATTTCCTGACCTGGACATTTGTTCTGGTTCTGGTATTCTCATGGATAAAATTCCCAATATAAGCGCATTATCCATGAGATTATTAATGCAGTTCCACAACGTGACTAGCATGATTTCCCAAATGAGATGGGAAGTTACTAGGGCTGTAGTATGCATGACTTAACTGATTTATATTGTGTCTGTCCTTCAGTCAAAAGAAGGAAAAATAATTTCCATTTATATTGCTGAGTCTGTAGGAGCTTACGCACTGGCTCTAAATCTTGCTGAATGCCGCTCTGTCCCACTGTTTCCCGTTATGTGAGGCTTCAACAAAAAAGTTGGCGCTTCACAGAGTAACAGTATTCACCCAAACTTGTGTCTTAATCTTGCCCTGTATAAGGTATCACTGGCTCAGTTCTCTTAGTATGTCGGGATTTGTACATTTACTCTTTAGGGGATTTCATAGTAATCCCAAGACCACTGGACCTCATAGATATGTATTAGAAATTTTCCACAGCAGTGATGAAAATTGAATTCCAGAAGACCTCTTAACCCTGCCTTACATTTAATATTATTAAATTGCTTTGTTTTATATCAATCCCATGAAAGAGGAAAATGGTATTTTTTTTGTAATACAGCATTTTTTTCCTGTGGTCTTTTATATGGTGTTTTTAATAGGCAGTTAACCATTTCCCATGATTTCTGGGTTTACTTGGTGTGCAGCTGCATGAAGGCAGAGTTAAGGCTGCTGGGATGACCTTGCTATGCATTTCTGCAAACTTTAGGTATTTTGAAATGACATCTCATTCTTTCAATTTCTTTTCTGTATTACTATTATTTTATTATGGCAACATTCTGATGACAGAAGAAAGAGATAGACAAACATATTAGGTTATTGGCAATCAATTTAGGAAAGCCCTCTGAGAAGGAATACCCGTGGGAGATACTGTAATTCTTCGGTCAGTCACAGGCAAATTGCGAGAGCCAAGGAAAATGAGAATAAAAGATAGAGAATGTGGCTTTGTTTTCTCATAGCAAGCATTTTCTATTAGTAAAGCACATGATGTTCCAGCTATCCTCATCTCTCTTCCTATCACATCTTATTTGCCAAGATCTTTTTCTCTATGGTTGCATTACATGGTCAGGGCCCAGAACAACCGCAATTTCACCTTCAAAAGTACATGTCAACTAATAGCAGTTACAAAAGCATTTCCAAGATGCAAGGGCCACAAAAATGTATTTACTTCTCTTACACTTTTAACAGTAGTGGCATCAGTCTACTTTTTCACTTGGACTTGCTGGTGCTTCTTACGAGTAACATGGCTGTCTAACAGAAAGATGAGGAAGGTGAAATGCTTAGCCCTAACCTGGCAGCAGTTCCTAGCCCTTAGATTTGCTGGAGGACAGCCCCTCCAACCTCCCTCTCTCTCCAGGCGGGATAAACCCTCTACGTGTCCTCGTACATGGAGACCTCTGACTCTTTGACCCTCTTTGAAGCTCTTGAATTTCCCACTCTCGAGTTATACGTATCATCAGATCAAAGCAAAGGGAAAGGCTGCAGCTCTAACAGCTTATTCATATTCCTTAGATGTTTCCAACTGAAGTTCAGCTTTCTTTTTCAGCCCTGCTGCTACTTTGTGTGTGGTGAGCATTTCTGATGGGTTCGCAGGTCCCTCTCAGACACCTACTGCTGCTTGCGGTCCCCATGCATTTTCTTAATGTTTTCTGTATTTAATGAAGCATTTATTTCTAAAAAGTAGAAAATAGCTGAAGCAGAGATTTTTTAATGCATCAAATATTAGCTGGTTTTGCTTTTTTTTCCAAGTGCTTGCTATGTTGTTCTTGCAACTGTTAAAAGACCATTTTGTTGATGAGAACAGAAAGCTTTTATTTATTCATAGCACTGGGAAGGATTGATCTACACAGAAAGGTTAAAAAGGACTAAACATGGTCAAACTGGGAGGGGGGAAATGACCAAGAAGGATGTCAGCATTAATAACAGCAAGAATGAGGGTAGCACTGCGAGTGAGAAGTAACAGCTCATGCACAGCAGCACGAGGGAGGGTTCCTGGAGAGCAGCGCTCCCTGATGATGTGGTAAGGCTGGCTTTGGGGTGATCTCCAGGGAAGGAGTCAGGAAAGCCTTGGCAAGCGTTATTCGGAGCTGGTTTTCTCTCAGAGCAGCACAACTGTTCCTTGGTGACTGTGAGCAAGGCTGGGTGTGGGCCCACTTACCCATAGCAATCTGTTCTCTTTCTGCTTCCTCCGATTGACTCCACCTCACTAGAGCAGGAAAAGTTTAAACTGCTTTTCTGCAGAGACATAGGAGAGAATGGCACTCATTGTTCGCATTTTCTTTGATGAGGAGGCTTACAACAGGTTGTGGGCATTT